CTCTTGCACTTGAGAGCTTAAAACTTTAGACTTTAAAAAGAAAACTTGCAGCTGGAGTTCAAAAACACATTTTTCCCTAAGAAATTTTTTCCATGATGTGGAACCCATCTGAGAACAGGATCAGCCTGACAAAACTCTGTCAGTGACTTCAGAGCTCCAAGCCACATCCCCAGATGTAAAATTCCGGGGTTGGTTCACACACATACAAAGCATGAAGACACACAGGGAAAAAATCCAAAATATCAATTCTAATATGTTTAAGGGTATTATATCTACATAGCTCAGAAGCTAAAATTAGATCATTTCAGTAAATCACTATTTGGAAATCACTACAGCTTACAGGGCCAAGCAAATGGATTCATCACATTCCCTTTTTATTCAAATTTTTCCACAACTCCTGGAAGTATTCAGGTTACCCTGCATCAGAAACAGGCCTGATGTTTTGTGAATTAAAAACCAACCAACGAACCAACACTAATTAAAAAAGAATTCCCTTGTATTCTACTTTTGCTATCTATTCTTGCAGAAGCCCCACTCAAGACCTGGGGCAGCATTGGCCAAGTGCTGTACAAAGAATGAGAAACAAACACTAAGGACATTAAAATCTTTCTTTAAACCCTTACAATGCACTAATCTCTGCACACATTCATAATTGCATTTAAAAATAGTTTTCTCCTCACTCATGTCCCAGATTTAACAGTGATATATTGAGGTCTCATTAAAAAGCTTTTATTACCTTCGTACCTTCACAAGCCACAGTAGCTTCCCTATCTGGTATTAAATGCTGAAAAAGTACAGATCTCAGAATCCCTCTGACCTAAGAACTAAGATTATTCCAGGGACTCCACAGGACAGGCTCTAACCCTGTGCCTTTCAAAAGCATTTATAGGCCTGCATTTCTCCCAAGAAAATTCCATCAGCATAAGCCTAAAATGATGATGGGCACCAACTGCAGCTGCTGCCTTCTCGTGCACTTGTCAAATTCCCAGATTCATGAGAGTCTTCTATCTGCAATTCAGACATTCCCCTTTTCTACACGAGTGACACCCAACTCCAACTGTCTCCTGTTATGGACAACAGAACTCCCAGATCCCGTGAGATCCCAGCCAGAGGTGCATGGGGGAAAATAAACCTTCCATGGGATTAGAGACACATATTCTGAAGGCTTGCAAAGCTGAAGGAATTGGAAAAGTGCAGGGAAAATGAATTTTCAGAAGCACACGGTAAATCACAGAAAGGCTTGAGTTGGAAAAGACCTTAATGCTCATCTCCTGTCACCCCTGCCATGGCAGGGACACCTCCCACTGTCCCAGGCTGCTCCAAGTCCTCATGTCCAACCTGGCCTTGGGCACTGCCAGGGATCCAGGGGCAGCCACAGCTGCTCTGGGCACCCTGTGCCAGGGCCTGCCCACCCTGCCAGGGAACAATTCCTGCCCAATATCCCATCCAGCCCTGCCCTCTGGCAGTGGAAGCCATTCCCTGTGTCCTGTCCCTCCATCCCTTGTCCCCAGTCCCTCTCCAGCTCTCCTTTATGCCCTGCCAGGGGCTCTGAGCTCTCCCTGGATCCTTCTCCTCTCCAGGTGAGCACCCCCAGCTCTCCCAGCCTGGCTCCAGAGCAGAGGGGCTCCAGCCCTGCAGCAGCTCCATGTTCTCCTCTGGACTCACTCCAGCAGCTCCAGGTCCTTTTTTGGGTGCATTACCCTGATCTCCAGTGTCAGGTGAATGCAGCTTCACATGGCACCACTGTGTGTCAGCACATTTGCAATGGGTGCATAAATGAAGATTTTTGTATTTATCTCAGCAGTTTAATCCTGCTTTCCCACAAAATTTAGACAAGTGGAAGAGAAAAGGCAGAAGGAACAGAGGGTCTGTAAGCATAGCAGCCTGATGGGGGAGAGCCATTGGCTCAGTGCTTTTGAACAGTGCAACTCCCTGAACTCATGAACAGGTGAAGGAGTAACTCAGGAGGTCAGCAACATGTCCTAAATGTAATATTAAGCATAAATATCAATTTAAGCTAAAGTTAATGAAGGCTGAGGACAGCTGTTTGTAGGCTCATGTGAGAAATATTATATAAAAGCTCTTTCACAACTTCATTTCTTGTAACTCAGAAATAGAACACTCAGAAGGGCCTGACAAGGAGAAGATACCCCCTTTCCTTTAAAATAACATTACTGTCTTGGGGAAATGTTAGAAAATCCATAAACCGCAATTTTGCTTGGCTCACACTGGGCTTTGCAGCCCCAGAACTCAGAAGTGTTCTATGAAGAAAGTCAATATGATAACTGCATTTTCTGAAGCAGAGCAGAGGCAAAAATGCTGGGATGTGTGAAGGTTACCCAGCAGGTGCAGCACAGTGGGAACTAGGGGCTGAGACAGCCAGAAAAAATGTGTCTGATACACCCACATTCTAAAAATACAGAGCATGAGTCGGGGGGGAATACAAAATATAGCAATGCCTGAGGAGCACACAGGCAGCTGCCTCATCAGCCAGCCCCTGGGAACTCTGTCCAGCCAGGGCTGCCTCTCCTTCAGCCTGCACCTCACCTACAGCACAGAGCTGCTCCACAAATACTGAGCAAGACATGTCCCATCCCTGCAAGTGTCCATGGCCAGGGCTTGGAGCCTGGGAGAGTGGAAGGTGTCCCTGCCCATGGCAAGGGGGTGGAACTGGATGAGCTTTAAAGTCTCTTCCAACCCAAACCATTTCACAATTCTGGGATTCCCCCCAAACAAACCAGGCCTCCAATACAGAATCACTTGGCCTCCTGCTAAACCACAAACACAAAACAAGCAGTGTTAAAAAGGAGATGAAAATATAAATAATAAACTAAAAAAGACAAAAGAAGTTGCATCAAACAAAGGACTGAAGCTACTCAGGTGCCCAGAATAAACTGGAAATGACAGAAACATTAAAAATACAGAGTTTCTGTCACCTCATATTTACAGTGTAGGAGGACATTCAACCTCCACACATTTAGAAAGACCTTCAGTTTATTTCTTGTTAAGAAAGAGCTCTGGAAACAAAGCACTTATATAAATTAATAATAAGTCCTTTGAAAAATATTATGGATAAAAATGGGGAGGAACAGAAGGGACGACTTGTTCATGGAACTGTGAATGCATAAATGGACTTTTCTTAATAAAGGCACATACAAAGGCAAAGTTCAGGAGACAAGTGCCAGGACTCCCCCAGCTCTCTGCACTGTCCCTTGTCTCAGCCTTTGCTCATCTGGCAGAAGGTGAAATTCATGTGAGGTGACAAAGCCTGGTGCCCATCAGGGCTCCAGCAGCAGCCAGGGGAACCAATGGAGGGAACAACTTCTCCAACCCTGCATCCTCCATTCTCTGCGGGCTGAGGCTTCAAGCAGCAACAAAACCTAAAATCTGCATCTTCAATGACCACTAACCAAAAATCAGATGTACTGTGGCACTCTGAGACAGCCACATACCATGGAAAGCACAATCTCTGGGACAAGGCTGAAGCACAGGCTGCTAAAAAAGCAAAGTGAATGGATAGAGTGAGGGAAGAAATCTGAGACTTCAAATGATCAGGGAAAAGGCAGAATATTGAACATATGCTGGTTAAACAGAGAACAGTGTCAGTGCTGCACAAGGTCCTGCAAATATTTACATGTAAAACCAACACTGTGAGCACAAATCCAGCCACCCTAAATGCAGGTTCAGTAGCTTTATTGTCCTTTATCACACCAAGTCACCGTGCAGCAATCCCAGCTGGGAATTTCCCTGTTTATCATCCTCTAAATCTCTTCTACACTGGACCAGTCAGTTTTGGCATTGAGCCATGCAAGAGGGCACGTTCCAAAATGTGATTTAATTAGAGGAGGATGATGCAGGATAAAATAAACTGAGCAGTGTCCATGGGCACAACAGCCTCAAGCAGGTGAACATTCCCTTCACTGCAAATCAACCAGGAGAAAAAAACACCACCAAATGAGATATGCCAGGAAACCTGTGTCACAGGTGAGGACACTGAATTACAGCCTGACGGCTCTGAGACACACCTGGAGGTCACAGACAGCAGCAAGGTGTCACACAGTGACTCCCACCACACTGCAGGCTGTGGGAAGCTCCGAGCTGGGAGCAGGTGCTGCTGCCTGAGCAACACTGATGGGAACAGACAGTGCTCTCAAGGTGGAGAGAACACAAAGACAGCCACACACGAGGAAGGAAAAACATTTACAAAGGGAAAAGTCAAAAAGTTGACAGGCTGGGACAGCTGGGGGTGTTTACCTGGAGAAGAGAAGGCTCCAGGGAGAGCTCAGAGCCCCTGTCAGGGCCTAAAAGAGCTCATAAATAGGGAGGTGAGAGACTATACAGGACAAGGGGGAATGGCTTCCCACTGCTGAGGGCAGGGTCACGTGGACATTGGGAAGGAATTGTTCTCTGTGAGGGTGCTGAGGGCCTGGCACAGGGTGCCCAGAGAAACTGTGGCTGTAAAAACCCCATGGATATGAAGGTAATCCAGGTGTCTGTGGCCCACTGCCCACCTGAGTGCCTTCTCTGACATGAGAACAGCACCTTCGTGTGTGCTGTTCTGCAGCTCTGGTCCCTCTGATGGCAGGTTTGCTCTCAGGCTGAGGTTTTATTTATGCAGACTTAGCCAGTATTTTGCTAAAATCTCATTCCTTCACAATGCTGCATGCTTCAAAGAGCATGTTTTTACAAGAAGTTCCCCTCACGCTCAGAACTCTTGCTGAAAAAGAGGTTAATGCAGACTGAAAATCGTTGTGACATTCTGGACCTTTTAATTGGTTATGAGACCTGCTTTGGGGCACACATTAATAGGGCAGAAGCGTTGTGAAAGCTCCTTCCCTCTCCTTGACAAACTGCCAGAGGAAGGAAAGCAGTTTGGCCTTGTTCAAAGTATTGTGCAACCCATTTAAAAGCTGAAACCCAGGGAGTATAAATGGAATAGAGGAGCAGAGTGCCCAGAATGGAAAGTAATGGGAAGAGAAGATGCAGCCCAGGTGTTTTACCATGGCACTGAGCGTCTCCTCCCAGTCCGGCCTCTCCCTGGGATGGATGCTCCTCTGCAGCTCTGGAACAAAGTCATCCTCTTCTGTGTGGACAGAGGACTTCATCATTCTAGAAAGGAGGACAGAGGTTGGATATTCAGTGACAATTCAGGTAATCTCATATCCAGTCTCTTACAGTGCTCAGTTATGTGACAACATAAAATGATTTTACACATCCCAAAATCCCACAGACTCCTCAGTTTCTCCCACTTCCTCATTATACAAGTAGGACAAGAGTTTAAATCTGGTGGAGAGAAATCTGCACTTCCTAACCAATCAGTGGATAATTTTGTTTAATCACTGCACAATTTGCAAGTCTCACAACACAGAAAAATGCAGAGGAGTGATTTTCAGTCCAGTTCAGAAAAATGGCTCCTATTGCCCAGGCAAACAGCAAGAGAAATACACATTTGTAAAGAGAAATACACACATTTGCTTCCTCCTCCTTTCAGAAGGTTTTGCCTGAAATGGGGATAAGAGTTTCCAAACCTTAGTCTGACTCCACATCCCAAGGCCTGATCCACCAGCTCTCATCCCTTCCTGATCCTATCTGAAGAGCAAGCACCTCAAATGACCCTGATGTGACCAAGTGAAACTTTTCTTCAGAAAAGGAGCCACCTTCAAATACCCTGTGAAGGTTATTCCAAACCTGCACAGAGACCAGAGGCCCAAAATGAAAACTGAGAAAGAATTCATAAAAGCTTCTCAGCCCCTCCACATGGCAGAACTCGGTAGATACGTATTTTTTTCACTTTCTGTTTGTATAAATGTCCCATTGCAGATATTATGATGTAGACTTGAAGTACGAAAGGCCTGTTCAAAGTCTGCTGTCACCCATTCCAGTTTCATTAAACATGATACTCAGGCAGGCTTTTATTCCCTTAATAGATCACCACTTCTGTATTTATGATAAGCATTTTGATAATCAGCAGTGCAAAGGCATGGGTAAAAAGGGCTGGCTTCTAACCCTCCTGATTCATGCACCACTTGACTGAAACATGCCTGGTGAAAGCCAGTTAATAAAACTCCTTTGCTTCAGATCCAAGATGTGAAGTTCTAAAACCCCAGCATGCTGCTGACACTGGGCCAAATCATTTCACTCAGCTTTGTTCTCTCCAAGAGGGTTAAGGATGAAGTAATTAACACTGCAGTTAATGGCACGGCTGGGTTAGGAATTACAGCCCATATAATTTCATCCCCAGCTTTGTGATCATATTTCTGCTCCAATAAAAAACATCCCAGAGAAACTGAGCCTCAAAATCAAGTCACAATGCCCCAGGGAAATGCTGCTCACTGGGTCTGTGTGTCATTCCCACCCTAAACATCACCCACTGTCCTCAGGAAGGAAAAATGCACCTACCTGAGCTGAAAAAAGTCTGTATGAAAATGCCATGATTTAGAATAGAGAGGTGCAATGTCAGCTCAGAAAGGAGACCCTCACCTTTGCAATAGATGTTTAAAAGAATCTGGGAGTTGAAAGACTAAAAATTTGCTGCTTCAATTCTCCTTTGCACATTGAGAGGAGGAGCTGGCCTCACAGCCCCATCCTCACCACAGGAGAGGTTTCCCACTTAATTGAAAGCAGAGGAAAACAAGCTGTGCAACTGAGAAACAAGACATAAACCAAAAAAAAACCCCAAAAAACCACACACACAAAAAACCAAAACAAAACAAAAAAACCCTCAACTTTTTAAATCAATATAATGATTTTGCAAAAGGCTCAATATAGTTTTCCTGAGGATTTCTAGATGTTGGGGTTTGATCATACTGCAGCTGAATAGAAAGATTCTAGACAAATTATCCCACAGCAGCTCAATCTAATTCCTGAGGTGATGGAATGGAAGGAAGGGTGATGTGATCAAGACCCACCTTCTCCAGCAGTTAAAGTAATCAGCTTATCAAAATGCTCCCTCACTTTAAAGACTTGAAAATAATGGGACAGCATTTAGATCTTTCTCAGCACTTGGGAGTCCAAATGGATTCAGTGCACAGATCCTCAGCTTCTGGCAATGCCTGCCAGATTTCTCCTCTGAAATGTGCTGGCTGCAGTGGCCAGAGTAGGTGCAGAGGGCAGTATGTCCTATTTCAAATAATCCTGGGAATCAGGGTCTGTACCCTCACACTGGATCAACACGGATGTCACAGCACCCAGCTCTTTTTACCACACTCCAATCTAACTACTCACATTATTTCTTTAATCTGTGCCTATAAAACTCCCACAATAAACTCTTCACAAACCCTTCCCACCGAGATCCCAAAATGCAGTCCCATTATTCTTCTTCTGAAGGTGTTCTGGACTTTTACTGCAAATTGGAAAAGCTCCACATGCAAAATTGAGCCTTTAAAACAGCGAATTCTTTGAGCTTTTGCCAGACTTGGAATATTCTACTGCTGAGGGAAATTCAAACTTGGTCCCAACATCACAGAAATATTGGAAATGATACTGAAGATTTTCTCTCTGACACAATTATCAGCACTTGATAACCATCTGTGCACCCTTATTAATATTTAATAGCCACTATTTAATTCCATGCCATCTGAGACAGAGAGCAAGGAAGGCTGAAGATGCTGCAGGTAATATTAGTCCTTTATGGATTAAGGCTGGTGGCTTTTTCCTGCCATCAGTGACCTGGATGGAGGAAAATAACTTTGTGAACTTGCAGCAATGAAACAGGGAGAGGAGTAGGGGCAGAAAAGGGGGAGAGTAGGAGGAAAAGCAGCTTCTGAACACACTCTCCTTTTACAGTGTTTCCTCCAGGCATGTAAAACCTCAGAGCAGCTGGGGAAGGAGTTCTCCTGTCAGCCAGGCATAGGGAAACCCTGGACTCACCCAAGACAAGCCTGGAGTGTTATCTCGAGGTATAATCACATTCACACGTTTTTATATACATGTGCATTAAGTATATTTGACATTATTTTAATTTATATAATAAATAAATAGCACAACATACATATATCTGATTCACCACACATGTCAAGCTGCAGCAAGACAAATTATCTTGTTTCTTTTGCACAGGAGAGGAGAATGCCTCAAATCCCAGGAGCACTTGCATAAAACACTGTCACACGGATCTTGTACACAGTAAAGGGCAAACCGACTAAAGGAGCTGCTCTATAATGGCTCCATTTGGGTATATATATTTGGGGCAGATGTAAATGAGTGAGAAGTCACTACAAAATTTAATCCTGGCCATTAGAATATAATTTTTTTTAAATGCCACTTCCTCAACCTCTCAGCAACCCTCTGCCCTTGCAATGAAATGTGACACTGTTATATTAATAAAAGTTCTGGTGTACAGAGGCCATTAAGCAATTCCTCTGCAGATGAATGAATCCTTCTTCATTGTAAATTGAGAATCAAATGTACTGGAACAAATGTTTACAGGACATTTCACAAAAGGCCCAGCCCACTTTCACACCCACCCTTTGAAGTTCTCTGGTAGGTCAAGTTGATTAATTTAGTTAGAACTTGTATATTTGTACATGCCACAACTGTATCGAGAAAACACCTCATGTCCTTCTCCACCTTCTCAAATCCAATTAGCTGTGCTCATCATTTATGGTATTTCTGTGCCATATCAGGAATTAAAACCTCTGGCACCTTATCAAGCATCAAGTCCTGGCTGCTCACACTAGGTTGTGTCACAGGCCAGGAAACACCTACAGGAGTTTCACTGCAGGGTGATTTGCATTAAGTAAACTTTATCTCAAGTAAATGTAAACTTTGTATTAAATAGATGAATATTCAGCTTGATGTCACTAAACTCCACAGTTACTGCTTGTTATAACATTGTCAATTTTAAATACACCTTTCACTAGACAAGAACCTCCCCTATGGCTTTGAAGGAGTCCCACATCCACAAATCCAACATATTTTCACATTTCGGTTTGCGTAAGAGAGAAAGAATCACAAAAAAGGGGTTTGTGGAAGGAGCTCCTGAAGTGAAAGAAGAACAGAACTCTTAAAACGTTGTGTGTTCCCATTTCCCAGGTTCTTTGGTACACCCCCAGTGCCAGAGCAGAGGAGGAACACAAGTGTCATGGCTCTGGTGCCATGTGACACCCCAGTTCATGGCAGGACACAGGACGGTGACAAAGAGAGCCCTGGCAGGCTCCTGTCAGAGTTAATTGTCCATGCCACTTGTCCAGCAATGGACTCCTTACATGATCTGGAGTTGTTCTCCTCCTTGGGGACATCAGGCACTGCAATTTCTCCAGGCTGCTCCCTCCACCAGGGACTTCCTGACCTCCGGCCGAGAGGTGAGAGCCAATAAGAACGGATTTATTCGTTTATTTTTTATCTCTATCACATTGTTGTTGTGCCTGGAGATTGCTCCCCCGATGGAAAAGCACAGCTCTGCCCTACAGAACCAACATTCAAGAGGATTTAGAGCTCCACAGAAAGCCCTGTTTTCCAAGATAGAAATTTTACCCCAAAGGCTACAGTTTAATTAAGGCCTGTGCTGACACCAACCTAGATTGAAAACCAACGAGCTTCAAACACTATCTGATAAAATCTCGTGCTTGTTTTGCTCAAATAATTTGCAAAAGGCAAAAATAACACATCCTAGCCTGGGTGGAGCATCCCCGTCCTTCCCAATGTAGAGTTTGAATCCCATTATCTCAATCACAGTTTGGAAACTTGTAACCCAGCAGTGAATCAACAGAGAAATGCCTTGAAAACTCTGCTTCAGAGGCTTTCCAGTAAGTCAATCAAGATGTAAAGCACTGTGGGTGTCACACTACAAGATATGACAGGGGAATTAATCCAACTTTTCACATCTCATCAGCTGCCCATTGCCACCAGGAAAGGAAGAAAACATATTAAACAAGAACTGAGATGTGACTCAAAGTTTATACATACCTGGGCAAGAAGTTGGAATCGTGAGAAACCCTGATACATCTTTATTTCTGACCTTAGACTTCTACCACAAACACACAAAAATTAGGAAATTACATCAGGGAGATGGGGAAAACACAAAAATGCACATAGCCTTCTCAGCCCAATTTTCTAAGTAAATTCTGTGTCCATGAAATTAGAACTAATAGAGTGGAAAGGAATAAAATAAT